TTTTCTTTCATTTTTTTTTTTGAGATAGAATTTTGCTGTTGTCGCCCAGGCTGGAGTGCAATGGTATGATCTCGGCTCACTGCAACCTCCGCCTCCTGGGTTCAAGCGATTCTCCTGCCTCAGCCTCCCGAGTAGCTGGGATCGCAGGCATCCACCACCACACCTGGCTAGTTTTGTATTTTTAGTAGAGATAGGATTTCTCCATGTTGGTCAGGCTGGTCTTGAACTCCCAACCTCAGGTATTCTGCACGCCTCAGCCTTCCGAAGTGCTGGGATTACAGGCATGAGCCACTGTGCCTGACCTGGATATGTTTCACTATCTTGATTGTGGTTTGTGGTGATGGTTTTACTGGTTGTTGTTTCTTACGCTCTATCTGGCATTTTTAGATATAAAATATTTAATGATTCCTAAGCTTACTTATTTTACATAGTGTTTATGGAAAGTTTAATTCTTATAAAGCACAAGAGTTCTAACTGGATTGTTGAGAACTGCTTTAATGGTATTTATTACTGTTACCTTAATATTTCTGATCTTAGATCTTGACTAATGATGCGCTCAATTTATTTAAATGTGGAGTTTAGCTCTAAGACTTCTGTAACTTAGAATGATATTTTGAATGATCTGAATATTGTTCATTAAGTACATTTTGCTCAAAGGAAAATATTGTAGTCCAAAGGAAAATATTGTAGTCCACCTCTGACAGTTTAGTATTATTTTTTTGAGATGGAGTCTTGCCCTGTTGCCCAGGCTGGAGTGCAGTGGCACGATCTCGGCTCACTGCAAACCTCTGCCCCCCAGGTTCAAGCAATTCTCCTGAGTAGCTGGGATTACAGGCACCTGCCACCACACCTGGCTAATTTTTGTATTTTTAGTAGAGATGGGATTTCACCATGTTAGCCAGGCTGGTGTCGAATTCCTGACCTCAAGTGATCCACCCACCTCGGCCTCCCAAAGTGCTGGGATTACAGGCGTGAGCCACTGGGCCCGGCCTTTTTTTTTTTTTTTTGGAAACAGAGTCTCACTGTGTCGTCCAGGCCGGAGTACAGTGGTGCAATTTGGACTCACTGAAACCTCTGCCTTCTAGATTCAAGTGATTCTCATGCCTCAGCCTCCCGAGTAGCTGGGACTAATAGGTGCACACCATCACACCTGGCTAATATTTATTTTTATTTTTATTTATTTTTTGAGATGGAGTTTCTTTCTTTCACCCAGACTGGAGTGAAGTGGAGCAGTCTGCACTCACTGCAGCTTCTGCCCCTTGGGTTCAAGTGATTATCCTGCCTCAGCCTCCCGAGTAGCTGGGATTATAGGCACCTTCCACTATGCTCAGCTAATTTTTGTATTTTTGTAGAGATGGGGTTTTGCCATGGTGGCCAGTCTGGTCTCAAACTCCTGACCTCAGGTGATCCACCCACTTCTACCTCCCAGAGTGCTGAGATTATAGGTGTGAGCCACCGTGCCCAGCCCAATTTTTATATTTTTAGTAGAGACAGGGTTTCACCATGTTGGGCAGACTGGTCTCGAACTTAGGACCTCAGGTGATCTGCTTACCTTGTCCCCTCAAAGTGCTAGGATTATAGGCATGAGCCATCGTGCCTGGCCCCAGTTTAATTATTCTTAATAGAATATGAAAAGATTATAGTTGTGTTACAAATGAATTGATGCTGTTAACTTGTACTTTCACTTTTACTAGCTGACAAGATGATAAAAGCAGCCTTCTTCTCAGAAAGACAGTTTGATTATAAATCCAGCTGGGAAGTGTGCTAGTTGATGATTATTAACTCAAGGATATATTAATTTTTGTCAGGATAAAGCATTTTATTTTATTGATATCTTTCCCCTCCCTCTTCTAGGAAATACAGTAGCAGCCATGATAGAAGACAAAGGGCCAAGAGTGACAGACTACTTTGTTGTAGCTGGTCTCACTGACACATCTACTCTTTTGGATCAAGAAATAAATCGTTTAGATACTAAGTCAACTGGACCTAAAGCTCCAATTACAGACATTGCCGTTATTATCAAATCAGCTGGAGAAACAGTACCTGAAGGTTACACCTGTGTAGAAGCCACTCCATCAGCTCTCCAAGCAAACTTGAACTATGGAAGTCTGAAAAGCCCTGAACTTTTCCTCTGTTATAAGAGAGGGAGAGATAAACCACCCCTTACAGATATTGGGTATGGTGACTTATTTTCTTTGCTATAGTGAAGGAATAAAATTTATTTAAGGGCCATGGAAGTAGGAATTTGAAATCCTTGATAGTTTTATTATTACTGATAGTTTATTATTATTGATAGTTTTATGGTTACTTCAGGATTCATTATAGTAATATATTACATGCCAGTATCCACCCTTATTGAATTTCTCTGCATTGCACTTGAATTGTTAGATCATTTGCTTTCAAAATAATATTGAAATGAAGACATTAGACCTTAAAGTGTCATTTTGTTTCTGTTGTACTTATCAAATAAGATTATTAATTAAACAATAAAACGAGAAGCTATAATAAAGACACTATCATTTTAAGGAGCTGCTTGGGTTATGCAGTGAGTTTTTGTGAAGACCTGTACTTGTTTAACTAAAGAGCAGTCCTATTTTATTTTATTTTATTTTATTTATTTTTTTTTTTCAGAGACAGAGTCTCGCTCTGTCGCCCAGGCTGGAGTGCAGTGGCCAGATCTCAGCTCACTGCAAGCTCCGCCTCCCGGGTTCATGCCATTCTCCTGCCTCAGCCTCCCGAGCAGCTGGGACTACAGGCGCCCGCCACCTCGCCCGGCTAGTTTTTTGTATTTTTTAGTAGAGACGGGGTTTCACCGGGTTAGCCAGGATGGTCTCGATCTCCTGACCTCGTGATCCGCCCGTCTCGACCTCCCAAAGTGCTGGGATTACAGGCTTGAGCCACCGCGCCCGGCCAAGCAGTCCTATTTTAAATACAATTGTACTGTGTGGCTTTTAATGCTGGGAGGAGGGTGTTTACAGATAAGTGCTATAGTTTTCATGAAGTGTCTAGTATCTAGTCTACCAATGAAGGACATTCTTTTTTGTAAATGCCTACAAAGGTCCACTCTTTCTCCAAATGGCTACCTTGACTCTTCTGTAAAAAGGATGTGCTCTTAGAATACCTATAAAACTTTACCATATATACATGTGATGTATTGGGGTGTTTATTATCATTACCATTACTAAAATATAGATATTTGGGAACATCCTGGCAAGTATTTTAGGATCAGCTTGTCTATTTATACGAAATGTGTAGTAGGATTTTTGATAGAGATTACATTAAACTTTAGATTAATCTGCAGAGTATTGTCGTCTTTCCAATATTAAATAATTCAGCTTGTGAACGTGGAATGTTTTCCATTCGTTTAGGTCTTCTTTAATTTCTTTAAGCAACATTGTGTGTTTTTTAGCTCTGATTAATTTTATTTTTAGGTATTTTATTCTTTTGGATTCTGTTATAAATAATGTTGTTTTCTTAATTTTTGAATTGTTTGTTGCTGGTGTATAGAAACAGCTGATTTTTGTGTGCTAATCTTGCACTTTGCAACTTTGCGAATTTATTAGTTCTAATAACTTGTGGGTTCTTTGGGACTTTTAAAATACATATATAGGATCATGTCATCTGCAAATAGAAATGGTTTTACTTCTTCCTTTGCAGTTTGGATACTTTTTGTGTGTGCGTGTAGTTACTCTGACTAGAACTTTTAATATGTTGAATAGCAGTGGTGAAAGCAGGCATCTTGTCTCATTCCTGATTTTAGTTAAATTTCAGTGAAAGCTTTAGGTCTTTTACTGTTGAGTATGAGGTTAACTGTAACTTTTCTTTAAATACCATTTGTCATGTTGAAGAAATGTTCTTCTATTCCTAGTTTTCTGAGAGATTTTATCATGAAAGTGTGTTAAATTTTATCAGATGCCTTTTGTCAATTGAGATGATCATGTATTTTTTCTTCCTTTGTTCTCTTATGTATTACATTGATTTTCTTTTGTTGAATCTTTCTTTTGATGTAAGTATGATACCATACCTTAAAAATGATTAATTCCTTAGTATCATCACATATCCAAATTTTTCTAATTCATGAAGCCTTTTTTTTTTTTAAACACTTGGTTGCTGGTTGTTCTCTGTTTGTTGTTGTGGTTGTTTTTTGTTTGTTTTTGAGACAGAATTTCACTTTGTTGCCCAGGCTGGAGTGTGGTGGTGTGATCTTGGCTCACTGCAACCTCCGCCTCCCGGGTTCAGGTGATTCTCCTGCCTCAGCCTCTTGAGTAGCTGGGATTACAGGCGTGCACCACTATGCCCGGGTAATTTTTGTATTTTTAGTAGCGGAGATAGGATTTCACCATATTGGCAAGGCTGGTCCTGAACTCCTGACCTTAGGGGATCTGCCTCCCAAAGTGCTGGGGTTACAAGTGTGAGTTACCACACCTGTCCGCTGATTATTCTCTTTATAGTTGTTCACGTATTAAGGGGTAGCCATTTGACCACCACTTGTTAAGCTCATCTCCCACTATTGTTGCATTAGAGCTCTGGTGAAATTGTTATAAAGATACTCATATTCCATGGAAGTTGACAACTCAGGCTGAAAAAGAGAAAAAAAAAGAAGTTTAAGAAGTCCTCATTTTTTTCAAATTTTCAAAACCAAAGGATGATTTGTCTTTATATTATCTTACTTGACCTTTATGCAGCATTCGTTTAACTCCGTTAGTATTGTCCATCCTGTTTAGCTACTGTAGTTTTCATTCAAGTCAGTATAGTTAGGATGGTGATCTTTCAGCTTTATAGGGTCATTGAGCATATGAGCCAGATTAGAAAGACAGGGTTTAGAAATGATTGGGAATTGGAGTAATAAAAGCTTTTTTTTTTCCCCCTAGAAGCTTGACTTTAAGGGAAGGGGAAGATAGTTAAGGGCCTAACTATTCAAATTGTAGCACATGGACCAGTATTATCCAAAAGACTTGGAAGCTTGTTAGAAACTCAGAAACTTAGGCACTATTCCAGACCTACTGAATCAGAATCTGTATTTTGGTCCAGTGTGGTGGCTTACACCTGTAGTCCCAATACTTTGGGAGGCTGAGGTGGGAGGAGGATTGCTTGAGGCCAGGAGTTCACAAAAAATAAAAATAAAAATGAGCAAGGGCCCGGTGTGGTGGTTCACACCTGTAATCCCAGCACTTTGGGAGGCGGAGGCAAACTGATCACTCATGGTCAGGAGTTCAAGACCAGCCTGGCCAACATGGTGAAACCCCCTCTCTACTAAAAAAATACAAAAATTAGTTGGGCATGGTGGCGAGCGCCTGTAGTCTCTGCTACTCGGGAGGCTGAGGCAGGAGAATCACTTGAACCCAGGAGGTGGAGGTTGCAGTGAGCCAAGAACGCGCCACTGGGCTCCAGCTTAGGCAACAGAGTGAAACTCCTTCTGAAGACAAAAAAAATAAAAAATTAAAAAAGAATTAGCGAGGTGTGGTGGCAAGCACCTGTAGTCCTAGCTACTCAGAAAGCTGAGGTGGGAGGATCACTGGAGCCCAGGAGTTGGCGGGTACAGTGAGCTATGATTTTGCCACTGTAGCACTCTAGGATGGACAACAGAGCAAGAGACCCTGTCTCAGAAGAAAAAAAATCTATTTTTAACCAACTTCCTAGAAGCAGTGGTTTAAAATACCTAGAGAGTGAAGATATATGAATTCAAGGGTTGTTTTTTAACCTTCCTCCCAGGGAATAACTTAGAACATTCTCATATTGAAGGAAGAAATCAATGGAGAAGGAAGGGTAGGAAATACAGGAAAAAGAGGAGATTTTTATAGAATAAAATTATTGAAGGGATGATGTAGACAGCATAGGTGACTGGACTAGCTTTTAGCTTTTAGTGGAAGTGGGCCATTCTTCCCTCCCTCTCCCTCCTCCTCCCTCCCTTCCTTCCTTCCTTCCTTCCCCTTTCTTCCCTTCCGTCTTTTCTTTTCTTCTTGTCTCTTCCTCTCCTCTCCGCTTTCTTTCCTTTGTTCCTCCTCTCCTACCTCTCTCTCTCCTACCTCTCCTCCTCTCCTCTCCCTCCTCTCCCCTCCCGCTTGCCCTCCTCCCCTCTCCTCGACAGAGTCTCACTCTGTCACGGGCTGGAGTGCAGCGGTGGCAATCTTGGCTCACCTGCAACTCCACCTCTCGGGTTCAAGCAGTTCTCTGCCTTAGCCTCCTGAGTAGCTGAGATTACAGGCACCCACCACCACGCCCCAGCTACTTTTGTATTTTTAGTACAGATGGGTTTGACCATCTTGGCCGGGCTGGTTTGAACTCCTGACCTCGTGATCTACCTTGTCTCTGCCTCCCCCAAAGTGTTGAAGCTACTGGCGTGAGCCACTGTGCCCTGCTGGAAGGGGCTTTTCCTTTGACAAGAAGAAAGTAAGTTAAAATGGGTGTAAACACAGAGTATTGGTTGCAGTGGAGTGACATTAATGATTTTATTGTTCTGTTTTTCTTTTTTCTGTACGGTTTCGTTAAGAAGATAAGTAATATCCTTAAGGATGTAGGATAAAATTGTGGTAACCTCCATGTCAGTTGAAGGGAAACCAGCCAGGTACTTATTTTGTGTTCCAGCATTCACTGTTCCCTCTTTTAGTATCTTTTTTTTTTTTAATTAAAAAAATTGTTTTTTTGATATATAAAAATAAGGAGAATTTTTTTTGAGACAGAGTCTCACTGCGATTGTTCAGGCTGCAGTGCAATGGTGTGATCACAGCTTACTGCAGCCTCCACCTTCTGGGCTCAGGTGGTCCTCCCACCTCAGCCTCCCAAGTAGCTGGGACTACAGGCGAGTACCACCATACCCGGGTAAGTTTTTGTAGTTTTTGTAGAGGTGGGATTTTGCCGTGTTGCCCAGGCTAGTCTTGAGCTCCTGAACTCAAGCAATGTGCTCACCTCGGCCTCCCAAAAGTGCTGGGATTATAGGAGTGAGACAATGTGCCGGGCCAGTCGTCTTTTAGAGTCCATCTTTTGACAAGCCCACCTGCCACCCCTCCCATACAGTCATAACTGAAAGATGTGAATCTCTGAAAGATTGTTGTTGCTTGTGGTTTAGGAGCACAACTTAAAAATAAAATGATGACTTACGTAATTATACTTAGGTGCTTTCAGATTGCAAGTGGCTTTTTCATACACATCTTGCAGTTCCTAAGGCTTCTGATTTCT